CACCGTAAGGCGACGAAGCACAATTGACGCCAACAGTCTCGTTACAACCGGGGTCAAGCTGATCCCCCTGTGGTTACCACACTCATTACGCGCCCCTTTTTTGAAAATGGGCACTATCACCGATTCTCCCCAGTTGTCTTGGACAGACTCCTTTTCCCACAGATGCCATGTTTGGTCTCCCGTGGGTTGCTGTTCCCTGTTCTCACCGGGAACGCGGTTGGCCTATTTCTGCGGCGAAGTCTCATGTATTTAAACAGGACTTTTTTTTCGGGTGAAATCTGGAATAGTGGCTTGTTTTCGTATGTTCCATTGACGGATTTCCGACTTACAGCGATTCTGCATTCTACGAAATACCGGCTTATATTCTGTGTCTCCTGTCGTCAGCTTTCCCAAAAGGCGCCGAATCCTTTCAGGTAGCTTTTAGCCAATCCGACTGCGCGTCAGCCTCATGTACTTTTTGGACAATTGTCCTAAATGAAGCTTCCACCAAAGCTGGTCCCAGTTTAACTTGTTCAAGAAAGATGCGCATTCCTGAGAAGTCTTCACGGCAGAAGTTTCGGAACCACGTTTTAGGTTCGGGATTTCTTCCCCAGTTGCAAATGAAACCAAAGGTCAACACACAGTGTTCACTATGTCTCAGTGGATCGTTAATTATCACCTGGTCGACGAAGTGTCTTTCGATGGTGATGACTTTATCCAGAGGGGATGGTAGTTGGCCTGCGCGGTATCTGGTGGGTGCGACGACATGTTGAGTCCAAGCGCTCTTTTGAGCGACTTCGTTCAGCACCGCTGCAAAAAATCCACTTGATCCGACGCGCTAGAACTCCATCCAGGAGCGTTGAAATCACTTACCAGCAAGAGTTGAGTGAAGTAGAAGGTGGAGGAGAGTTGCTCAGGGGTTTGTATGAGGAATTTGTCATCTTCCAGAGGACTCGTTAGACCACACTGAGCAGAATAGAATCGGACCCGCTCAGCGGGATTTACATCTATAGAGCATCCCAAAAGGGCGCAGGAGTGGTTTCATAGAGGACAATCTGGATGGGCAGGGCCGCGTGTGAGTGTAAAGCAACCCCACCCGCCCTTCCTCGTTTTGGGCCAGCTCAAAAAATAGAATAGCCGTCTATCGAGATCTCCGCGTCAGAGACATCTGGTGTGAGCGAGGTCTCTGTGTGCGATTGTTTACGGCTGTTCAAGGCAAACTGACTGTTTAGTATCTCAGAGCTTGTTGAAAAGGCTGAGGTAGTTGGTCTTCTCACCGGGCCTAGCAGTTGGATCGCACACTTTTTGCCACCAATTGATGCATTATCATCATCATCGTCAGCTGTAGGAAACGCGTACTTGTCATTCGGTGGTTGTAGCTGCCACAGTTTCGTTCGATGGTTTGAGGAGGTGGGATAGGTAGCTGCGCATTGGAGGCGGTTGCTGATAAATTGACGCGTGAATACAGTGGACTGCCAAGTGGGGGAATCGGGAAGGAAGGTATGCATTAAAGGCAATAGCTTGGATACACGAGTGCCAGTGAGAGCGCGACTAGGCCACGTCTGACAATGTCTCTAACCCTCTGATGTGGCCCGTCTCTGGGTCCCCATCCAGGAAGGTGGCAATGAACAGCGTAGCTGAGTTTGCTGGTAGTGGTTTTCACACTTCGCTCCCAAGCCATTGTTTGACCGCCTCTGGCTCGTTTCCACTTTCTACGTGGTTGTGTGAAAATAACCCTTCTAGGAAGTCGGTGGACTCGCATACACAGAGCGTGGCCAAGCCAGTGCAACCTATGCAGTGTGATTAGCTCATCAATCGTGGGTGGGTTATTTCTTCCGAATAACATTAGGCATACTTCAGCATCGGCGGTCCGGTGTTCTCACCAGACTCGGGCAATGCTCCGAAGGCATCGACTGAATGTCTTTTGATGCCCTCGGCGCGCTGCGATCAGGTTTCTGACCCGTATAGCTATATGAAGCGCACCACAGCATCGTAAACTTGACCCTTGACAGATAAGCTTATGTCACGCTTACGCCACGTGACGCGGGTTCACAAAAGCTGCTCTGGCCTTCCTGATCCGGATTGGGATATCATCTTTCGTGAGACCCCAAGGACTGATACAACTGCCTAGGTAAACAAATTTGTCTACTACCTCAGTCGGTTCGTCCGTAAGCATGAGGCTAGGGTTGGAGCCCACCCAGTCTTGCAGTAACACTTGACACTTTGCAGGCGTGAAGCGCATACCAAACCGTGAGACGGAATCGTTTAGATTATTTAATATTGTTTGCATTACCACAGGGTCAAATCCCAGAAGAGCTATGTCATCTGCGTACTTGATATTCGTGAGAGGACGCCCCGGGAGCAGTTCTACCGCACAGTCATTAGAAGCTTATAGTGATTCTTCCATGGTTCTTCCATGAGTAAGGATGAAGTTGATGAGGAAAGGTGGAAGAAGACAGTCCTGTCTGACGCCACTTGATGTGGTGAGCTCAGAAGAGAGCTTCCCATAGACCTTTACTCGGCCGCAGCGTCTTAAGGAGGGTCAAGAATTAATGGGGGACACTTTTACACCACAGACGCTGCCATTGTGCCCGACGGTCCACAGAGTCAAAGGCAGCTTTCAGATCAAGAGACACAAGCGTTGTTGGTTGCTGGTTGCTGCTGTTCCAGATTCTGTCGGAGGGTTATGATATGGTCGATGCAGGCCGGACCCTGCTAAGCTTTCACGGATCTGTCTTTCCCTATGTCCAGTCAACCTTCGAAGATGAGACCAGAGAGCACCTTCGATGCCACAGCTAACAGTCTAATGTCATGGTGGTTTTCACACAGCGTCCGCGTACCCTTTTTGAAGATAGGGATAACTGTCGACATGCCCCATTTTGCAAGCACTTTCTCTTCGTTCCATATGGCACCAATAAGCTTTATCAGATGGTTCGCCACGGTTCCTGCGCCTTCTTTGAAGGGGACTGGATACAGACCGTCCGGTCCTGGTGCCTTCTCACATTTTAGTACGGATATTTCGCACTTTATTTCTTCCGATGGGCGATCAAGTTTTACATTCCATTTGCTCGCATACATTATCTCCACAAGCTGTTTTTCAGGCCATCTGAACTGTTCTTCGAAGTGTTCGGCCCATCTTTCCATTTGACGATTTTGTGACTGAATTAACGAGCTATCTTATCGTTTCGCTGACCGTTGCTTTCCTAGAAATAGTCTATCGTATCAGCTGATATAAGCCACGGCTATTTCCCATAGCAAAATCCTTCTCCATCTCCCGAGCTCAAGATCTTTCCGTAGACTTTTCACTATTTGGCATTTGAGGGATTTGCTTGCGCCCTCGTACTCGTTGCCTGCTAGTATGAATTTCCTGGCATCAATCATGGATAGCGATCTCGTCGACATCCAGCCGTCTTGTGGCCGCATCGGAGAAGTCGGACAGACAGCCCTGATCGCCGCTAACATGGCTTCTTTTACATTTCGCCACGCTTCGGCCAGATGCTTACTGCCACCACAGTATTGGATTACTGTTGAGAGTTGTTGGGCAAGGTCAGATCGATACCGTTTAGTTATGGTAGTTCTTCGAAGATAGTGGATTGGCTTGCTTGCTGATTTACGAGGACCTGAAAGTAAACGAACTCTCAGGCTTGCACGCACCATGGTGTGATCGGAATCAAGTTGTGTGCTCCAGAAGGAACGGCAGTCTTGAATTGTGGCTAGTCAACGATAACCTATGGCCACGTGGTTCAACTGGGTCCACGGTTGATTTGCAGTTGGTGGCCTCCAGGTTACGCGATGCGAACCTTTAGGTTGAAAGTTCGTACTTGCCAGAAACAGTAATCAACACACAACTGAAGGAGTCGATCTCCGGTGTCTGTGCGGCGAGCATCGACTCCGAATCGACCTCCCAAAGGTGATTCCAAGAAGCTCAGACGACCTACCTGAGCATTCATATCTCCTGCAAGGTTCACAGTGTAAGTGCTCTTTGCTTGACGAATGAGCCCTACTAACTCTCGATAAAAGTATTCTTCTCTACGTCGGAACTGCAGTCCGTTGAGGCATAAGCCAACACAAACAGGCACCGCTTTTTGTGCTGAGAGGCGTTGAGCTTTATTAAACTAGATGACCGGACGGCGTCAACACGACTGTTCACTTGAATCCAATCCACCAAAGCGCCTTACGCTCTGGGACTGAGTGCAACTCCCACACCATACATTCCAAGAGTCATTGCTTTTGGACATACGGAGAGGGAAATATGAAAGACCTGGGTTCGTCCTTGGCGTTCTGAGATTTATAACCACACTTGGGTCTTGTATACGTGTTCCGGAGACACAGCATACATCAATTTTAGAGGAGTATAAGGTTTTAGTGAGCATTGGCTGTTTACCAATTTTACATAGAGCACGCAGGTTGAAAGCTCCTAATAATTAGGGTCTCATCGATTTAGGAACGTGTTAGTATCTTCATCATTAATAGGCAACGGAGAGCATAAGGCCCCTCGGTCAGATACTTAATAGTCAAATGACCCAGTGACGTTTGTGTGTGGTGGGGAGGGGTTGGGTAGTGACATCGGTAGTCACCGAATTGCGGCCGCGTTTTCAATCCGGAACTAACGATACCTACCTATATTTCACAAAATCGCCATTGTTGGCCATTGCTGATCTTGATTGTGGTTGGTAAGGTGGGCTTGGTTTTTTATTCAAACCGGTACGGGAAGTCACGCGCGTGACCTCGAGTGCGCACTTCGATTTTACAACTCTTCAGGTCGATGATACACCTTCTCACAGGATTTTGCTAGTACGCTTTAGACTTTCTGCTGGACAGACATCTCACCGTGGTAACGGTTTTTCAGCCTCCGTGACCCTTTGATCCATATAACAACATTACTAGTGTATCCCCGATTGCACTGACCCTCCTCTTTTTCTTGAACCTTCCAGCTCCACTGATCATCTCCCTGCTCACTGCCTACCTTTAAAGTGTCACTCGGTAGATAATCTAATCCAGCTCTACTCTCGGCCAGAAGAGATAGAGCGTCTTGCCTCAAGGAGTGACAGTGACTGTTGTGAGTTCTACTAGTTTCCATGTAGATGCTCCGAGATACCACAGACAGAGTTCCAAGTATCACGCTTTATCGTTGTTATTTGATTGCTTTTACCATCAATGGCTCACGAGAGGGCTGCTTGTGGGGTGAGCCTTGGTATGTTTCCTTAACTTCTGGCTCACAGAGCTCTTATGCTGCCAAATGGGGATGTCGTTTCTTAAGGTTGAGAAAATTTAACGCAAATCTGCCTCGAACGACATGATCGAAATCAACCTGTGTTCAAAAGTGGTCGGCAGCTAGACTGAAATGCACCGTCGGCAGCTGATGGTGAAGTAGTCCATTTGACTCAAAGGCTGCACAGCAGCAGTAGGCACGGCGGTACACCAAACTGTTCCAGGTATTAGGAATCCGTATAGTGGTGCCTACCTAGTGAACGCTATATGCGAAAACATAATTTGCACATCCAGACGAATGTAGAACCAGAGTTATTAAAAGTGTGCTATAATAATCGTATCACGATCTGAATAATTACTACACCTGGTGGGTATAAGCAAGAAGACGCGCTTAGAGCTAGAAACGCGTCATGAAAAATTGGACTTTACCGCGAGGTGATGGTCTGTGAGCCTCCGCGACCCGTTGAGCTTTAAAAGGGGATGTCCGTGCGGTACTCAAAGTCTCATACCAGATTGGTCAATGACTAGAGGCCTGACCAACACGCTTTCTTGGCCCCCAGGTTGGTAGTTGGAGAAGTTGTGGTGACCTTTTCTATATAAATGGTAATGCACTTGCATTTTCCGCCAAACGCCGCTACCTTGCTTTCAGGCTTTTGCGCCAAAGGCTCTTTTCGAGAATCCCAATAGTTGCCCTTCTCAGGTTCGGGCGCCCTAACAGTATCGCAGCCCACGTGCAACTGACAACATTGGCGTGCCACTTCGGCCGCCACGGGGTGTCATCAGCCTTCCTTGCTGCATACAGCAGAGCCGGTAAGCGAAAACATACTACTTCTTGGCTCCTCTTTCTTACACTTTCAAGTTTTGCCTCTTCTGTCCAACACCCGAATTCGAAACCCTCTACACAGTGCCCAGTACTAGGGCTGACCGCTTTGTTCGCCGTGTATCACACAGCTGAAACTTGTGTCCGCCTTTAGTAACAACCCTAAACATCTCGAAGTGTGCTTTCAAACCCTCAGAGTTGGTTCACATAGGTGCTCACTAAAGTCAGCAGAACAATGAACGGGTCTTTTTCGTACACTGTTCCCTTCGCATTGATGTATACCCTCTCTCAGAAACGCGGATGCAGAACACAAGTACTGTAGGTGAATTTTCTATCCCTCGCTCTCAGGTTTCGGCTGCGCGCCTCTGGCGATACAGTAGCCACTGCAGCCGGATGTGCCGGGGTGGGTGTCGTATTGAGCGATCAAGTGGGGGCGTCCGTAATTGGTCGGATACCTGAGGTGGACCAAGTGGCTAGAGCGCGAATTTGCTGACCGGAAGGTCCGTGGTTCGAACCCGACATCTGCCTCTCGACTTCCCCAGTATAGGTTTGGGCAACCTGGCAGTATGCCAACCCTCGTGCCTTCTCCGTGTGGTATGGCAGCTAGGCACCTAAAGGGTGCTACAGCTGAACGGATACCCGTTGATAATTTCTTCTGTGTGGTTCGTTGGGCGGCGTTTGTGAAGGAATCTCGAGAATGTGAGGTTCGTCGCACTCTGCTTATTCTGTCTGCTTACGACCTGACGGACGGTAGCCCTGAGTATGCTGAAGATGGCTTCTATGGCGTTCTAGGTGCTGTTTCTGGGTTGAAAGCTCAAACTTCTCTGCGGTTACTGGTGACATGAGCGCTCGGGTAGGCAAGCTAGTCTCAGCTTGGGCCAAATCTGTTGATCGTCCTGGGTTGGATCCGAGACTCACGGACAACGAAGATCGCTTGCTCCAGACATATATCAATCACAGGCTGTTGTTTTGTGTTATCACTTTCCGGAACAGCGGAAAACGCTTGATGACGTGGCGCCCCGTACCGAATCAGTCCCGAATCCAAACAGACTACATCGCCGTCGGTTACCGGTGGCGAGAATCGATCACTGCTTGCCGTTCTTTCTGGAACAGTAGTGTGGAGTCCGATCATGGACTTGTATGCTGCTGCTTTTTATTGCGCTTCTCAGGTTTACTAAAAGACTCAAATACCTCACTTAACCACTATGAAGCTAGTTGACTCAGAAACTAAACACTCCTGTCACATCCGGCTCTTCGACCGCCTGCCTGATGGCCAGATGTCGGATAATAACGACCACTACAGACATCCAAAGTGCCACTCAAAGCCGTAATTTTTGTGTGCGGTACAACCTAGCCAACACCACCCAAAATTTGGATCTCAGTAGGATCAAAGTGCCACTCAAAGCCGTAATTTTTGTTTGCGATACAACCTAGCCAATCCCACCCAAAATTTAGATCTCAGTAGGACCGTCGCTTTGCTGCATAGTGTTCTCTCGGGAGAGTGTGGCGGTATCCGGAATACTGTACTAAGTAAAACATGGACAGCCTTTGCGCAGCATATTCATTTGAATAATATGTAAGAGATTCAGCCCGCATTCGTTTGAGTCTCCCAGTAAGGCCAAATCCGTACTTCGCGGATTTCACACAAGTTAGGTTCAGATAGAATCTAAGACAAACAGAAACCCGGGGACTGTGTGTATTCGATGAGCTCTAAGACTAAAGAAACCGTTCTTGGACTGTCGAAGAGCTTTATGCGGACTCATAAGTTTTTTTTCTTCGGTAAAATCCCTTGTCATGTTTGTATTTTGATATTCAGGTCAAGCAGCCAATCCTTTAGGAATGTCTCAGTACTACATGTGAGCGTTTTAGCTCTTATGGTGTCCTATTCATTGATGGTATGAGTCATACAGGAGGTCCGGGTTTATGGTGAAGGTGACACGTTACATCGGGTAGGCGTACTCCTGCGCTCTGACTGGCTCATGTTCACCCTTACCCCTTGGTCTATTGCTGTTTCCATTGCTATCCCGTTTCTTCTTTTAGGTTGCACCGACTTCATTACTACTTCGATCTCCCGAAAATCTCACCCAAAGCATCCAGCTCTTGAGCTCGGACTAATTTAATTTGGTTCATTCACTCATATACCTGTTCAATGGAGATTGCATTTCGTTACGGGGAGAAACCCATTGAATTTCAGCTCGAGCCAGATGGCGAATACTATTACTTAGCTTCCGAGGTTAGTTTGTGTTGAGTTGGTTGTTCCGTTGTCTATTTCAAAATAACTTAGGCGCCGTTTGTCTGACTTTGCACTCACCCAACCTTTTCCATTGCTATCCCGTTTCTTCTTTTAGGTTGCACCGACTTCATTACTACTTGGATCTCCCAAAAATCTCACCCAAAGCATCCAGCTCTTGAGCTCGGACTAACTTAATTCGGTTCATTCACTCATATACTTGTTCAATGGAGATTGCATTTCGTTACGGGGAGAAACCCATTGAATTTCAGCTCGAGCCAGATGGCGAATACTATTACTTAGCTTCCGAGGTTAGTTTGTGTTGAGTTGGTTGTTCCGTTGTCTATTCCAAAATAACTTAGGTGCCGTTTGTCTGACTTTGCACTCACCCAACCTTTTGATGTCACATTAGATCCACACCAGTTGTGATTAGCAACGCTATACCAGACGAAGGGCCAGTTTCTACTTGACTAGAAGGTTCAGCCTTTTTGCGTGTATTTTCTCAAGGAGTATTCTGATGAATTCGGCTTGTGATTAACATATGTTGCCGTCAGCTGTATACTCGAACATATTACTCGGTGTTTTTCTCTACACTTTCTCGATCCACCTGGGCTTATAGGTTGGTCGGTACTTACGTTTGTTCCGCAAAGAACTGTTCAAGAAGTACCCCAATTTGTGGCGTCGGCTTGTCACTCCCGAAGAAAAAGAGAAACTCATTCAAATGGGTAAGTTTGTGATTTTTATTATTTTTTTTTAATGATTTTTGTTCTTAGAGGAGACTTTTTGTTATCTACTAACTCTTTTCGGAAAAGTTGTTAGTGGCACTCTAGGTCTGAATACCAATTCGCATTTTTGGAGTCTTTATCAGCAGCACTTAGCCTAAAAAATTTGGGGCGAGATGGTCCAAGTGGTTAGAGCGCAAATTCACTGACCGGAAGGTTCGTGGTTCGAATCCGACCTCCACCACTCGACTTCCCCTGTCTAGGCCTGACNTCCCAGCCCTCATGCAACCTTCGGGTGGCATGGCAGCTAAGCACCGGAAGGGTGCTACAGCTGAACGACTTAGCCTAAAAATTCCGCGATTGCAATGACTGACTTACCCACAAGGTGTAACTCTTAATGTCTTCTGTAATTTTCCCACCATCAATGTCGGATCGTGTAACAGACCTCCATGAATAGATTTCTCTCCCATTTGGTTGGTGGTCTTATTTCGCTTTGAACTGCTAACAAGAGTAACGACCATGAATATGACGTCGTCCCATCGTCTGTTCCTCCAACACCAGAACTTAAACTGTAACTGTAAATTACTAGTCAGTAACCAGGGCAACTGGACCGTCAGTCATTGACACCCTATTTCCATTGTTATCCAATGAAGCATGTGGGCCGTTTTATTACAGACTGGACGGTGCTGTTCTTTCTGTGTTATATGGTGATTGAGCCCCCCGTAAGACTCTAATTTTGTTCCTTTGTTTGAATACACAAATGAACTGGTCCATTCTGAGAACCCATCAGAGAACCAAAACCTGTTTATAAAGATCATTTGTTTCAGGAAGCTGTGACGAATCTCTGAAAGTGGTAGAACGTGTTTTCTTGTCATAGACAGTTTTCAGGCTTGAGGACAGGTCACCAGGTAAGCTGACGTAGGGTATCGTAAATGATACAGGTCCCACTGTGGTCTGCTTGTCGATGCTCATTTTTCCGTCCCATAAACAATCTGACATAAGGGCAGAAAGGTGAAATAGTTTCTATCCTGCAAGTGTACTACTATACTGCACTGTAGACAAAGGAATGTGTACGCTAATGAGCCGTCACTAGAATAAACATAGACGATTAAAACGCCTGTCCAAAATTTTACTTGCTCTTTTCTCAACTCTAAACTGGGGGCTGTCTTCCAATAGAAAACCTTTTACGGGTGGTTAAAGCGCCAATTTACTGGCCGGAAGGTCCGTGGTTCGAACCCGACATCTGAATCTCGACTTCCCCTAGACTTGGGGAGCCTATCAGTATTCCAGCCTTCTGGTGACGTTGCAGCTAAGCACCGAAAAGGCGATGCAGCTGAATGATTTGGTTTTTTGCTTTGATTTGAGGAACTCTCACAAAAACCTCCTCATATGTTATTATTGCAACAGGAAATAGTTTCGTTGGGCTATCTCCCTACGATTAAACTAGTAAGGTCACCTGTCACCCCAATTTCAACTAACTATTTCACGACGAGCGATGTATGGAGCCCTTAATAGGTCTTTCTATAAACTGAAAAGCTTTCATACCTTATGGTAAACTGGTTTGTTTTATTGCTTTATCTTGTTTAACCTTAGGATTGGCATCTCATGTGACGGCAATGAACGCGATGTTGTTGCGCACTTTTGAGGTCAACGACATACTTTGCGGACACGATGATCGATCAATGGACTCGATGACCCATCTGGAAAGTTCTGCTCGAGACAGCCAATCAAGCAGCAGCACAAGCGTTTTCGGAACCAGTAGTGTGGGCACGACTGCGTCTGGTGCAGCTGGATCAAAACCTCCTGGTGTTGGTGTTGGTACGGGGACACCCAGCCGGACGGGTTCGGTCAGTGCTGGTATAAATGGGGCACCCAATGCAGGTTTCCCTGTAACTGGATCTAGTGCCACAGACTTTCTTTCGGGCACCCCAAAATCGAAGCGCGAGAATTCCGGACGATGGGTTGGTTTGGGATCGGCTCCGAACACCTCGTTTCATCTCGATTCCGTCCCTTGTCCAACACCCATAAGCCGCTTACGCACCGGTAAATAGCATGGTATATGCGTATGAAACATGCTCTTCATTTTTTGCTATACGGTTCTCACTTTGTTAACCGAGACTCTTCCCCTAAGAAGGACCGCTAGGGTTGAAGGGGGATATTTGGCCGCTCGTTGAAGTTTTTTTTTCGGAGGGATCGAACGTCCGGGAAGATCATGGTGGTCACCACATTTAGAACTGAAACATTAACCTCTTTCGGCCATGGGTTATTTATCTATTATTATCATATTCAGTGTCACCATTCACCGCTTTCTGAACCACTCCAAACTGAGACAACGGGCTCTCTATTGGTGTTTGCCACATTTAGCTCGACAGACGAGCAAGGCCGCTACGTTTCCATTTTGTTTGGATGACTCCGACCCACTCGCTTTTCACGACAATGCTCGTCAAGCAGAATGCCTGGTCCCAATTCGTCTGGATATCGAATGTGATGGAGTCAAGTTGAGGGACTGCTTCACATGGAACCGCAACGAACAGCTCATCACTCCGGAACAATTTGCCGAAGTGCTGTGTGACGATTTGGACATCAATCCAATCACCTTTGTTCCTGCGATTGTCAGTGCAATAAAACAACAGGTATGTCTATTCTCCCTCTAAATCCACCGCCATTTTCTGTTGCACCTGGCTTGAGTTGCTTACTGTCCATTGGCTGATTTGTATGTTGCGCACATGTCCACAGGCGCCAGTGTAACCGTTTAAAAGAATACCTTGATCCTTCCATTTGTTTCAGCGATATCAACGTATAGACCATACCCGTTTTTATTTCTAGAGTCAGCTTCTTGTGGCTGAGTTAACAAGGATACTAAGAGCTCTGAACCCCTTCCTTGATTTGCAACCCGAGTGAATCTCGAGGTACGAAATGCCGTTTGATGTTCTGAGCCTGGACGGAAGCGTCCGAAGTGAAGTGAATTTGAATCATAGTTGTTGTTCAGAAGTCTTCATCTTAAGCTCTCAACTGCGTTGCGCCTCAAGGGCCTGAATGACCAGTGGTCATCCTGTATGAAACTTTGTCGCGCGATTGTTTATTCATTTTTGATCCATAGACGGAATGTTCAAACTTTATCTTCTGGAACGTCGACTCTGGACCGACGCATACCTCAGAGAATTGAATAAAATCGTTGTGCCGAGTTTTCTTTCAAATTACTTCCATCTGTAGGATGAACCCAGTTACAGGACGAGTTTGGGAAAATGTATAGTTCGTAGAAGAAAAAAATTGGATAATCGCTTTGCTTCTGTTACTAGGCCTTCCAAGTCTGTTTTTGTTTCAGTTTACGTCGTTTTCCTCTGTCATCCCATTTCCAAAAGGTGGACGCCCATCCGGTGGAAGACTTGCTGGTCGGACAGACCGATACTCGAGTAATCATTCGATTGAACATTCACGTTGGGAACATTTCCCTTGTGGACCAGTTCGAGTGGGATATGTCAGAGCGCGAAAATTCCCCAGAGCAGTTTGCCAGTCGTTTATGTGCAGAACTGGGCCTTGGTGGCGAGTTCGTCACTGCCGTGGCCTACAGTATACGTGGACAGCTGGCTTGGCATCAGCGAATCTATGCATTCAGGTGAGTTAATTGTCCAGCCAATGGTGTGTGAAGTATGACTTCTAGCCGATACAGGTAAGAGCTGTTATGCAGTCGTCCTATGAAGACGATCAACTACAGAGTTAAGTCCTCTATCTGGAGTCCGTCACGAAGAGACTGGACCTCCAGGTTGGGGGTTGGAACATGTGGCGACTTGTTCCGTAGAAATGGTAATGCATTTGCATTTCCCGCCAAACACCGCTGCCTTGCGGTTAGGCTTTTGAGCCAAAGGCTTTGGTTGAGGACCCTAATCGTCCTTCTGTCTAGGTGTGGGCGCCCTGGCAGTATCCCAGCCCTCTTACAACCATGAAAGTACGGCAGTGAAGCATCAGCGGCAACACTGATGTTGCTGTCTTTGATGATGATGATGATGATGGTGATGATCTACCTGGAGTGTATCCGAGTCGGAAGCCTTTTTCTTCTGTGACGGTTATCGTATTCGATGTTTCCGCCATTTTTAATCCATATCAATCGCGTTTCTTTGACCTGTCAACTTTTCTTGTAGCAGTGGCGACATCATTGGTAGAGGCCATAAAGAAAATCTAACTTGATTTCACTTATCTAAGCAGTTGGACGTTGTATGGTGAACTTCAGCGGATGCCGTTTATTTGTTCGTGAGACGAAGCAGTGATTTTCGCCTTCGACGACGTTGACAGTCGTAAAATTGAAACCGTTCATCCAGTTGCGCAAACTGGTCGGCGGTGGTCCAGAGGCTGGTCTGTTATTCGAGGAGTCCTGTGTTCTGTTTCTCTACACCTACCTTACAAGTTTCGGCAAAAAAAAAAAACCACTCATGTGGCTGAGGTCTTCGGAATCCAACATGGCGTGAATTATTCCTACTCTTCTACGACGTTCAAGTGACTCATTCGTCCTATATTACTTACGGGTGGTTAATCGATGTTCTAGTAGAGGAACTATGATTCAAGAAACGTTATCGGTTACATGGCGATCCGATATGTGAGGTAGGCTACTACATGCCTACAGATACTGCCTATAATCGGCATCACAGAAGCCTTGCCATAATCCTCCCAGAATGGAGCTACCAGCCTTCTGGTAGGAATAGATCACTCCCCAACTTCACTAGATCTACTACGCCTCGTTCATAATTCATTAGTGGATACTGGTGTTATTTTTAAGCATGTATTAGCAGATGTGCATTGAGTTACTGCACTTACTTGTTCCATTCTTACTCAAATCTGGCGATCTCATACTAATTTTGGATGATGTCTGTCGTCATTGCCGTCAGATTCAGTTCAAACACGGTGGCTGGTTATTCACTTGTGCAGAGCAAGGGGACTCATGCTTATGCACACCTTGAAATACCAATTCAATGGCTGTGAAAGTTTAAAAGAGGATATGTGACACAGAGGAATATTGATAGAGGCCGTAGTTTCCAAATATCCGAAGGCAACCAACTGAATGGCGCACGCTAGCTGCCAGGCTGGCTACAAAGGCAGTGCATTTGGGCAGCCCCAAGACTCGAACCTAAACCTTGTCTACGAAACAGATCTTGAGCAGAAACGCCAGACAGTGTATATGAGTAAATGATGGTTCACATCGTCGCACGCGTATTCTATATCGCACATTTCGGTTCCCATACAAGGCCGGCTTAGGGTGACATTTTTGGACCCAATGGGATATGCCGATCGTGTCTATGCAACGGGTCATCTAACCCGTGGCATGAAAGTGTTTGGAACACGTTCTACGGGGCACAAAATCTTCCCAAGACAACCAGTGTTATGAAGTTTCTGGCTGGCTCTGATTTAAAGCATTATAGTAAGGAAAAATAGGTAAGATACAACGTTTCTCAAAGCACATCGTACTAACTTATGTAGACTGTATGACTTATCGAGTTGGGTGACGTAAAACTGAAGATACAATATTTCTTATTGCGGAAACCAACCACAACGTTGTTTTTCAAATTGTGGCTTCGCAGGAGTGGAATGTTTATTCATATAGTTCTTTCTAGAAAGGGTGAAAATCGCCCAGTATTCCGACGGCTTTAAGCTCTTCTGTTTGCATACCAACCAGATGAATTGGATGGCTCTCGTTTATTGATTTTTGCATTTTTCTACCCATCAAAACAAAACAGCGAATCGCCTCTACCGACCGTAGATGTTGCTTTCCGCAATTCCAACGAGGCTGATCAATGGAGTCCGGTAGTTGAAGTATTAACGGATGCAGAAATGGAAAAGAAAATCCGCGACCAAGACAGGAATACGAGGTAAGTGCATCGGAAGCACCCCGCTTAGAACTGAACCCAGATCATCTTTTGTGAAAACGTCATATTCCGTTGGTTGGATCTGGATGGTAGTCTATCTACCGAAGGTGACACGTTGGTTAAGTACTTATCTAAGGGGCTCGAAGCAGTACAGGAGTAATGACGTCAACTTAACCGAAAGCAACATGGTCCGAGTCTACTCCTGGACTCGGGGCGAGATGGATCAATTGGTTAGAGCGCGAATTTACTGACCGGAAGGTCCGTGGTTCGAACCCGACCTCTGCCTCTCGACTTCCACTGTCTAGGCTTGGGCGACGTGACGGTATCCCAGCCCTTGTGTCTCATTCGAGGCATGGCAGCCAGGCACCGAAAGGGTGCTACGGCTGGACGATTTTTTTATTCTAAACTTTTTAAACCCGCCGCAGTTGGAACTCTTGGTTTATGACGGATGACGGTAATGAGGCTTGGATTACGCATCCTTATTTTTGATCTCTTCTTTGAGTCTCATGACAGGAACCCTCCAACCCGAGCATTCCCTTAGATCCACAGTTATCCTGCTATGATCCATTCAAACTACCAACATGACTAGAAAGTCTGTGACTCGGCAACGAAGTATGGAAATCCGAGTCGATGATCTCAACCATGTTGACAACTATCGTCTCGGCCACACACCAATTCTTGGCGACATGGCCAAATCCTACAGCTAATGAGACACCGGTTCCCAGGTGGTGGGCGACCTCACGAATCCACTTCAATAAGTCGACATCTTTTTGTTACTCTCGGTTTGTAGATGGAAAATTGAAGTGATTCACTATGTATCCGAGGTGGGCTTAGTTCGTTATATGGAGAGCTTATTGCAAGACACATGACAAGTAGATGCGTTATTCCAAAAGCCTGATGATTTTCCTGATTGAGTTCACCCATACATGTGCGCGCTTCTCCCCTATTTCAGGCGAATGCGTCGTCTGGCCAACACTCAACCTGCTTGGTAGCTCCGCTCACGCATGCAACTTTCTGCCATATTACTACCATACTGTTACCTTGTCGTATTTGTACATATATATCTGTTTTAACGCATCGTCATCTTCCTTCCAATATTACAAGCTACATACACAAAGTAACTGCTTTTGATAGGTCATGTGATGGGCGACACTTTTGGTTCACGAATCAAGCGTAGTGGATGGGTCATGTTCGCTCACCGTATTTATGCAGATTGTCACATAGGTTTCTTCCATCATACCCAACAGGACCGGACCAGATGTTCGATGTTAGGACCAGCTCAAATAGTGTTGCATCAGTACGGAAACCTGCATTTTGAAGTGATTGTACTACGGGGCCTGGTCTACAAAATTACTGGACCTTGGGTGACAAATAATGATCTACAGCGTTTTGTTTGATGCATTTGCTATTCATATGCTCACTTTTTGTATTCAAGTTGAATAAACGCAGTGGAATGCGCAATGACGATGTCTCCTTGACTGGGGACGAAACGTTGGCAAGCCAGTTGCCAAGCTCGGCGAACAGATCAACTGCCAACTGATCAACCACCAGTAAACACACCCGAGCTGCCTATATTTCGACAAATCGACAAATGATCTACAGCCTCGGGCGAAACATGGTCTGAGTGACGTGGTCCCTTAGTGATTTCCTTCTCACTTCAGGATTTTGATCAACGTAATTTCCCGATACTGACTTGTGATCTGGTGTTGTTCTACAGTTTGACCCAAATGTTAAGGAAGTGTTTAAGATCACTTTGTCGTTTTACCTAGTCTGCACGACGTCGCGCAATCTGCTGACAAAACGCTGTGTTCCCGAATGTACTGGTCCGGATAAGATCTCGTCCAGTTTTGTGTTGACTGTTAGCTGCTCCGGATGTAGTTGAGATCCAGAGGCAACAGTGTTTTGCATAAAGCTGTATTACACAGCATACTGCAGCCGGTGAAAAACAAGGTACAGCTTCCTTCAATCCAATCCACTTCGAAACTATGCGCTTGTGCTGACGTCCGCGTATAAGTATCGCCATACAGTTAACTCAGGACAGTTTGCTATCTCTTCAGGTAGCCATAGAGCACCGAATCGACAGGCTATCACAGCTTCCCCAAGGCTGTGTTGAGAGGAGCTTCCGATACCATTGAGTCATCAAAAACTTGGAACCACACGCCAGCTAGCCCAGTAGTATTATCTCACTGTGCGAAGCAGGGTCAACATTAGATTAGTGATACACTACGACTCACGAGGAACACACATGATTATGCTAACCAGTGGTCAGTAAAATGGCATCTCAAGAGTTTAGGGCCGACATGTTGGAGCTCAGTGCTGACCAGGGCTTACCGGGTCGGTGAGGATTTCGAATTGTACAAATCAATTTTAATCAACCAGAGGAGTACTCGAGACGTAATCAGCAAAGCTCGCGCCCGCACAGTACCGCGGAACATAACCGCTCCATTCACGTTGTGGTGCGAGCAAGTGTTGACCATTTGAGGCAACCGAGTGTCGGTGTGGCTATAAGCAATTCGGAGGATGGAATGACGGATAAACTTCACGAATGCAAATTACTGACCCACCGAAGCGTACTTAAATGGTAACTCCTTGTCAGGAGAGGCCAGCTCGCAGAAGAAACCAGTTTTATTTTGTCACATGACGTAACTCTTCAAAGTTATATTTGGGAATCAGATTGGTGTCAACGAAGGGTTCATGTTCGATTAAATCTCTGCTGAATTCCTCGCCAACCTAGCTGTCATGTCGCTCGAACGAAACACGAAGGATGATGTGGTGTCAGGCCGCTCAAGCCTAGAAAAGAGTAGTCGAGATCCCAGTCACTGAGTTCGCACCTTAACCACTGGGCTATCCGGAGTTCGCTGCTCTTCAACCGAATGTCATGCACAAAATTAGCACGACGTTCTAAAAAACAACGAAAAGTCGGGATGAAGTCCACCAGATTTGAGGTCACTTGGGTACAACTTTTTTTAGCCATAGGTCGTTCACTAGTCTATGTCGGTTTGGATTGCCAACTCAGAGTCTACGTTGTTCGCATCCAGTTGTGCTGATCGTGTCGAGAAGGATGAATTTGATCCAAAAGAATCTGGGGAAGCTCGAACTTCTTGCTGAAGCCACAATAAAAAAGGTAAACTAATTAATTTAGTGTGCATTTGTTTATCTTGCACCGTTCAGCTGTAGCACCCTTACGGTGCCTAGCTGCCATGCCACACGAATGAGGTACGAGGGCTGGGATACTGTCACGTCGCCCAAGCCCAAACAGTGGAAGTCGAGAGGCAGAGGTCGGGTTCGAACCACGGACCTTCCGCTCAGTAAATTCGCGCTCTAACCACTTGGTCCATCTCGCATAATAATGACCGAAAGAATAACGCAAGATAAATTCAGTGTTACTAATTCGTTGACAAACATTATGTAAGTGGGGACCATTATATTCTCTGACGGAAATCATTAAACATGGAGCTGTTCGAGGTAGATGCATCCACACATTGGAGCTGTTAATATTGCCACTCGTCGCAATCAGTAGCCAGGTGGGATAGCTAGATATGAAACCACAGTGGTTTGTACCGGTCAGCTTGTATAGATCCGCCGCCTCAATGTGTTATGCTGGATTGCGCGCGATGGAGATCCTACAGAGCACACTAGCATAGCAATCGCCTCAATGTGTTATGCTGGATTGCGCGCATAGCTACTTAATAAAAATGCAAACTCCTGTGACAACCAGACTCAACTAATGGCTGTGGTGGATTGGGACTATTGAAGCTGCAGTCATCAAACGCATGTGAGAGTACGATATGGAACAGTACCGTATGCCTAGCTGCTAATGTACATGAGCGTTGCGTTTGACTTAGAGTATCCCACACCAATTTGATATCACATAAAATCTGAACTCAATACAGATGCCGAATGTGATTTATCTAGAATACTTCAGTACACTGGCTCATCCAGAGTTGAAGTGACGTTAGAGGAATTCGCTTGAAAATGGTTATTCCTAACCCAGCGAACGAAGACTGAATTTACACTGATTGCATGAACACGAACGAGAGTGACTTTGAAGCATTTTTATGACAACCATTGCTAATAGGGGTAACTGTTCGTACTGACGGAAAAATATTGATTGTCTTTTATCCGACTACCGGAACTCAGACAACCTAGGCTTCAAAATTACCGGTCGAGTTTTTTGGTCATCTGAGTCTCTTTCGCCGCTCAAGTATTATTGAAACACATGGTAAACAGCAGTCTAATTTTCTGTGGGGTTAAACACCACCACGTCGACTGACCGCCAGAAAGTAACCGGTTCGGCGGGCACCAACTACTTATCTGAGTGTGAGTCACGGCTATGCGAAGCCCTCCAAACCTCGCATGTTAATGTGACCCACAAGTGAAACGAACTCATTTTAGCTTTCGCGTTTCTGGGTGACACTATATCACCTGACCAAACTGTAGTTGAATAACTTACAATTTACTTCAAAGAAACCCTGAATATACACTCACTTGTAAACTACTTTGTTTTTTTTTTCGAGGGACTCACCTGGAACCCAGCTGAACCTCTCGTTTGCGATGTATCCAGGCAACTATACGCTGCACCAGGCCGCCTCATGTTTCAGTCGCTACGATATTCGAGATATCGCGATACGTGAATATTCATCAGGTAGGCGCAGTCCCCGAGTTTCCATCAACATTATGTTATCATAATCGAGAGATTCAGTTGAGACTCGTGAAAACCAAAGTGATTTGCAAATGAGTATATTTCTCGAAAACAGTACAATTTGGGTTCAAGTGGAACATGAGGTTAACGGAAACTCGGGAACTGCGCCTACCGGATGAGCCCCAAAAAGGGCGAAACCGGTCGTGGGCTGTCGACGAATTTTCAGCGACCTTATGAGTAGTATATTACAAACCCTGAAGCTATTTTATTCGTCAGCCTCTTCAGCAGCGCCTTCATGGTCTCGTGAGTCTATGCGTATATTTGCTGAATATCATAGAAAACGGGGCCGTTGTTTCCATTACGTAGTGTCTATAAGTCAACGAAAGAGGGCAGTTGAAATCATCTTGCATCGTTCTTCAGGCCAGAGCCATGAGACATAAACAAATGCCATGTAAAACATTCTGGCGCAATTAGTTCATCCTTTCATTGTAGCTTCAGAAGGAAATTCGAGCCTTCAAAACCGTTTGAATCAACTGCGTCTCCGCCAACACGATCAGCTTTTTCGAATAGCTGGATGCGACTAACGTACACCCTGACTTGGCAATCCGAAACCACACAGACCGGTGAACGGCCTGTACTCGAGAAACTGAACCAAAATGATCACAAACCTGGTGGATTCCATCCGGCTTCCTGTTATTTTTTGGACCTACGCACCACAAGTTTTCTTCTACCGTCAACATTTATGGGAGCACCATTTTCACGCCTGCCCGCCTCTAGCTTGGCAATTCTACCCAATCTCACGCGACCATTGTAGTCCAACCATCGACAGCCAGTACTCGCTCGCCTATGTTCACATAGAATCAAACTACCCATTATCCTTTTTACGTCTCGCGGTCTATTTGTATTCGTACTCTAATGATAATAATAATAACGATAATAAACTGTTGCAGCACCCTTTCGATACCTAACTGCACACGACCCGAAGGAAATGCAGGGGCTAAAATACTATTGAGTTGCCCAGGCCTAGACAGGAGCAGTCCAAATGCAGAGGTTGGGCTCGAACCAGCAACCTCCAGGTGGGTAGGTCCACACCTTAAGCAGTGAACTATTTCCAGTTCGCCGTCTTTGCCCTCCTTAGGGTACAAACGACAATGAGCTAGTTTAACTAGTTATGGGTGGTTCCGGGATTCACCAAGTGGATCGAGGAGTCAGTCGGTGGTGATGGGAATTTCGAGATTAACGGGTAAGTGGCACTGTCCAAGTGATAATTAATATCAGGTATCCCTGGCCGAGAGGCTCAACCTTCAACTAGCAGTCAGAAGGTTGCGGATTGGAAGCTTCCTGGAGCTTCGTGAGATGCACGATGCTTATGTTTCCGAATACGGATGGAGCAGCTTTACAGTGCTTCTGTGCTTTGAAGCATAGATTCGTTTTACTTGCAGGACAAAATCCCGATTGAAAACTTCAGATAAAAGGGTTCATGGCGAGCGGGAGCATGTACGACGGAAAAATTACAAAACTGGAACGGAAAATAACCACGGAAGGTCTGTCAGTTATGGCATAAAAGCCTCGCCAGGTTTATCAACGGCTTTCGTGTTGGCAATCTCCAGCCGGACTAGCCTGGTTAAAGTACCCACAGTTGTCTATTGGATCACTGGTAGATAAGGGTCGCAAAAGACTTTGAGTCAATCCAATTGATGACGCTGCTCAGAAGGGTTTCCCTCGATACCTGCTAGGTGTATTGGTCACCCTGCTGAGCAAATAAATTCCCTTTGCCAGAGCACTCTTGTTATCTTTGTATGACAATTAAGCAGTGGTATGCACTACTGGGTTAATGCTGTTGAAGATGACCCGTGCTTGTAAGGAAAAAGTCCCGGCTTACGTATTTTTGCACAGATCCCCTAACCATGGTTGCGACAAACTCCATATCGAAATTCAATTGATCAAACCCCACCCACTGCTTGAAAACTAAGGCCACTTGAAACAATATAAATCATCAGTCTAAATGAACATGATCAGGACAAGACGCCCTACAATTCACATTACTCATAAGGGTGGGTCTATCTCGTCATCAAGTGTGCTAAAGCGGTCCAGAATAGGGTGAGTAGTCGATTATGTGGACAGACCAGCCACTAATTTACCAGACGAGAGTATTCACGATTACCGCCAGTAGGGGAACAATCCCAACAGATTGTAAGCAAAAGCAACCCAAGTAAATCCCATACTTGCGGATATACCTCGCATGTGGACCATACACGACTCCGGATTGTTCTGGCTCAGTTGTTGAGACGCCAGCTTACGGGNGCTTGAAACCGCTCAGTTGTTGAGACGCCAGCTTACGGGTCGGAAGGCCCATGGTTCGAACCCCACATTAGCATCTCGACTGCTCCAGGCTTGGCTAACCTGGCTGTATGCCAGCCCTCGTGCCTACTTCAGTTGGCTTGGCAGTGAGGCTCCGAAAGGGTGCTACAGCTGATGAAATCACCAAACAGACCTTATCCCTTCTTCCATGTCATGGACGATGCTGTAGTCTGAAATCTGGTTCAGTACGATCAGGGGCGACATGGAGCAACTCGGTCTCCACGTAGCCTACGGAGTCCGTCATGGGAACCAACAGTGGATCACGGTTTATGCATGGAAGCCAACCGCAGTGCCTGGACAGCTGACTGTTTCCATTCCAGAGAGTTTCCCTAAAGTGAAAAGCAGTAATGTTGCTCGTATAATTTATTCCTTGTCGACACAATGGTTGTGGTGTGTGGAGCTTACATAGTATGAGCGGAGAAATTTGAAACTCTCCAAAAACGATTGATAAGGTACGCCTGGTGTGACCAATGTCTGACAGAATTTCAAAACGAACGACAAGTCTGTTGTGGTGAAACCATCGCAACTCGCGTATTTTCGGGAGTTCGATGCACGTGAACTCTGATCTGGGGGTGCAAAAGCCCGACATACAAGTAGTGTGTATACTGCAGCCAAATAACACTGGTGGCTCCAGTGTTCAACAGTGGTCGTACTCAACTACTTCATAAAACGTGCGGGGCTCAACAGATGTTCGTATTGCCCAACCCAACTCGTATGTCCTTGAAAGTAGCAAAGTATAGTGCTTTTCAAGAAGCGTATTCCATCTCAACTGCTAGTAATACTTGACTGGAATCCAGGACGGTATCCGTTAAATTCAGCAGTTCGTCGTGGATATACGAGGCACCTAATTTCTGTCCAACATGGTATCTATGGACGATGATAGGAGGTATGATTATATTCGGCCGATGGTGTGGTAGCTGCTGATAAAACAAATGACAGGGCAGCAGATTTTGTACATTACAAGAAAACTGGGGGACCTCACAAGAAAATGGGGGTGTTATCACAGTCAAAAGAGTGACGTGTTGAGGAGCAAGCTATGTTGCCAGCTCAAAAAATCCAGCTTCATTTGCCCTCCAATTGACGTTCCCGAGCAGCGACAATGGGGTCAAACTTGATCACATACGCGGTTCCTTTGTACCAAGTAACGGTTACGGTGCATGGCTGCATAGAAGATGAAAAAAAGAGGGAAAGGCCTGCTCCAGATTGAGCTATCCTCATACCGATAAACAAATTTTTATCGTGCTCAGAGACGACGGCTTTGATTAAGGCATAATGGGAATGAATATGGTATATGGACGAATATTGGCGGTCTGCGGTAGCGACTGTCGACACCATCAAAGTCATTAAAGGCATGAAGTTTAGTTGAGGGCTTGTGGTATACTGCTGGGATGTATTATCCTAGTCTAAGAGTGAACCTCACTAGCTCGTATTCTCATACCCGCTGCTTAATAGCAACTAGTAATCCAAAGTTAGAGGGTGGTCCACATGTGTTTAGCCTACCCGTTACAAGCTCCCGTGCGCAGCAGGCATTTCAGTCGCGGAAACTATCCAGCACCATCAATTGCGGCGGCTCGGCTATGTGCTAGGCATGCCGAAATACCATCTACCGAGGTGTTCTCTGTGCCTCCTTAAGGATGGTGCGAACCGCCAGGTGGACAACGTATAACTTGGCTGAGGAGTGTGAGAGATTACGAACAGCTTGGATGTTGCTGGTGCGGTTCGCTTTCCAGGATGGAGTCTCCATAACACTACCTATGCTTGGCTGGATATCGCAAGAAATGGCGGCAAATCAATGTCAGTGGCGTTCGTGCTGTGTAATTGAGCGCTTAAAGGTGCAGGCGCCTCAGGATACTTGTGACAGATCAACAGTAGGTCCCATCCATCAACCTGTTTTTTCTCCCTTCGATCTAATTCTTTAAATATAATTAGATCAGCTTCGTGACTGTACAGCAGTGAGGAATCAGTGTCACCACTGATGTTGTTTTCTCTGATTATTGTTGCCTCCGCTTGAACCACAGCTTTCTGTTCCGAACACAAATCAGGGATGGAGAGCATCAATAGACACACTTTAAACACAATCTTCTGAGTTTCCCACTGGACGTTAATAGTGAAGTATCGACTCTTCCTAAAGGAACCTACTCACAAGGTTGCTGAAAACCCTTCGACTCTTCCGTTACTTATCATGACGAAATGTTGGAAAAAGGCCATCATATTGTTTCCCCCATCAAGAGGACCTGGTGTGAGTTTACCCAACCGAAAGTTTTGAAGTTCCTCAATATTATGCTTTTGTGAAAAAGAAATGGACTATGAACCAAGCTCACTTAGAACAACCCGCTTGAGCAGGCTGGTTGAATATTCACGCAAGGGGCAACATGGCCCAAGTGGTTAGAGCGCGAATTTACTGACCGGAAGCTTCGTGGTTCGAATCCGACCTCCGCCACTCGACTTCCCTGTCTAGGCTTGGGCAACCTGGCAGTATCCCAGCCCTCGTGCTTCCTTCGGGTGGCATGGCAGCTAGGCACCGGAAGGGTGCTACAGTTGAACGCTTTCACGCAAGGAATAAAAAAACTCGTCCAGCTGTAACACCCTTCCGGTGCCTGGCTGCCATGCTACCCGAAGGAAACACGATGGCTGGGATACTGCCAGGTTGCCCAAGCCTACACAGGGGGAGTCGAGAAGCAGAGGTCGGGTTCGAACCACGGACTTCACGGACTTTCACGCAAGGCGCTGGGTTAAAACGAGCCTGTAAATGAAACTCCACGTCTTAAGTTTGCAAAAACAAATATTTGGTACGTGCCGTCTGCTAAATTAGTTATATTTTTGTTGGCCAAAATTACAAACAATAGCCTGCCCCACACAACCGTCATTATCACTGCTAACCACCCTCTATTCAGCCAAGTAGATTCAACTAGGTGATCATTGCTTGTGACAACAGTTTGGGTTGTGTTTGGTAGTCATATGTCACCCGAAATCATAAACCCAAGCGGCGAGTAAGACAGACGCTCAAAACCTCCCAAAAGACGACCGCTTGTCGGTTGTATGACGAAAACAAACTCGAAAACAGACCGAGAGGTTTTTGAGCTGAAGTGCGGGTAGCTCAAATTCTGGAAAGTAAAATCATAGAGCCGAAAAAGCCTAAAAAAGGGAACTCACGTAGCCCGTGTTGGTCAGAAATGCTTCAACGATTCCACAGTTAAACGCAGCGGTATTCAGTGGTACGGCTATACAACAGTTGTTAGACCCGCAACAACAGACTGTTCTCACCTTCTTTTTCATCGAAAACAAATCGAGTGAACCGGTTCACCACAGGCTCGTGTTCAATGAGATAATCTTTGTCAAAACGAGTCACAACCAGTGATGGATAACTTACAGGTGTTCTTATCTCCCCCATCTTGTTCCAGTTCATCCGCCTCTTTTCCGAAAATACTCTTCCAAAATGTGCTCTTCAAAAACATCAGTGAGTTGTATAGCCGGGTATCACGTTTCTGGGGTTTTTCTCGCACATAAACAACGTCCACCATGCGTTCACCAACATGGCGTCCGAATTCGGCTAGCCTATGGGGATGAGTGTAGAAGCAGGAAGTGAGAAACCGGTTATGTGAGGCATAGAATACCTAAGCGCGTCAATAATCTGAGCCACTACTGGATAAAGTAGGGACATGACATTCTCAATGTAGTTGCTTCCAAATGGGGCAAAAGAACAATTGTTCAACAAGCTGTGAATAGAACCAAAATATGAAGTAGGGTAGGGCACTACAGGCCCAGCAAGGATCGATAGAAAGAGAATCCTGTTTCAGCTTTCGATGGCTCTGTAACTGACAAGGTGACAAAGAAAAGCTGGATGTCACTGGGTCGCAAACGATGATCCAGAGACAGGTGCAGAGACCGAGCGGCATACAAATGCGGAACACAATACGGATGTGTTTAAACAGGATAAAAATGGCTGTAGATAAGTTTCGTTCTTCGAATTTGCGTCAGTGCTGTATAATTCACGTCCAGCTTATTATGACATGTGCCACCAGTGAGTTTTTTAGAGTAATTTACAGAGTGGCGATCTTAATCGCTAGTCCCGATAAACTAAAATTGCCTCAACCAAGGAGTCATCTCTATTATTACTACTACGAAGTGCACTCATCAAAAGCCACAAGTTTTAATGTTTGTCCTGCTACGTTTCCACATACTTGTAGTTTCAAGTCCGTGTCACATTGAGCACTTCAGCAGGACCTCCACAACCTCTTCCGTCGAACTCGCCCCCATAGGATCCGCTAGTCTTTCCTTTTCGTTGAACATCACAGAAGACTCCGCTGATCTCTTCCCTTCCTCCGATCTTTCTCGGTCCGGAAGACATCTCTTTTTTATAGTGCCCTTGTCTTAAAACAATGTCTTCAGCTTTATCACCATCTCTTAGCACTAGCATCCTTACATCCTCATCTGGAATGCGTGCTCCTCAGATTTACTCGTAGTCCCCTACTTCTCCAGGACAATCTTTATCACTCTAACCGAATCCATAGATTCTGAATAGATCCTCACAAGGCGAATACTACGAGATACGGAAGATGATACCATTCTGAGTGATGACAGATACAGCAAGTGCAAGTACAATCCTTCCATAGAGGATCCAATAACTGCTATAGACTTTTCGGTGAACGGAACAGCTCGAAATCACCCAACTGAATTCCAAAGTGATGAACTAGGTAATCGGTTTCCCCGAAAATCAGTGTGTTTAATGGACCCGTCTTCATAGAAAGCCCGACGGATCCGTTGCACCTCAAACTATATCCGGTTAATCCGATATCCATGCGTCTACCACCATTCCAGTGCTCTGTGTCAATTGATAAAAATCTAGCACAGATCAATAGCAGCCGAAGTCTATCTTACCAAAGTCAATCGCGGTTACTTCTAAAACCCTTGTTATTCTCACCTTTGGTCACAATCCATCTGACCTGTATCTCCAACCAGGATTCGACATCACTTTAAAGTATTCATTCATAACCACGTTGGGATTGATATTTAACAACAATGCTGAGTGAAACCAATCAATGTTCGGCCCTTCACACAACGTAGTGTCTCCGTCTTGATTCCACCACTACGGCCCAACAAAACTATTTCTAATTGCAAAAAGAACATATGAGAACGTCTCTTGTGAAAGTTCATCAAATCAAATCATTCAGCAGTAGCATCCTACTGGTGTCTGGCTGCCATGCCGTCGGAAGGAAGCGCGAGGTTTGGGATACTGCCAGAGTGCCGAAGCTCAGACGGGGGAAGTCGAGATGCAGAGGTCGTGTTAGAACAAGGAACATTCCGGTTAGTAAATTCATGCTCTAGCCACTGAGCCACCTCGCCACTAGGTGCTTAGCTGATGGAAGCATAACACATCTGGGTTACTCACCTTCTCTGGACACAATCCATGTTCGGTACATTACGCATTGAGTACCTGACCATTTCCACAAACAAATATGCAAACGGAGCAATGTTAACCTGCAAATTTGTGTGTTCAAAAAAGTCCTGAGGAACGTACATCACCACGAAATTTCGACAGACTTTTTTCCAAGTTTAACGCGGCTATCTTTGAGTACTGCGAATTCATGTCTCATATATAAATGGATTTCCGTGAGACCAGTCCGCTGATATCACAAGTACTAAAATGAAATAGAGAAATTCGTGCTGATTAAAAGCCACAACGAACAAAAACATTCATGTTTATTCGACTCTCAGCTTCTCCTCAACCGAGTGCCAATCAACCAACCACCACTCAACCACAAACAGCGCATCAAGGTAAGTGGTCCCTGAGAAATCTGATCGTAAATCTGATCTGTAAATCGATTTTTGGGAGATATAAAGAGGATAGTAAATTATCAAAGATGGTGGCGTGATTGGGTTTCAGAAACGTGGCTCCAAAGCGGTTTAATTTGGGGATGAGTAATTGTATAGAGAAAACGGTCTTGAAATCAAAATGCCACAAGCAAACAGGCTAGATCATCAGATGGGCGTTTGCTTACCGATTGCCTCAACAGCGAGGAAGCCAACCGGAAAAATGGGATCGAATGGTGACACAGTTGGCCGAGTGAAACGGCTATGTATGGGGGTGCAAATCACAGCTAATCCTGGAAGTCAATGTTGGCTAGAGAGTTCGGCTAGGAAATGAAGGCACGAGTGGCAGTGGGATCGTTTGCACGCCATGTCGCTGAGGGTTTCCAGACTCGTGCGAGCAAGGAAAGCGTGAAGGTCTCACGGCGCTCAGATTGACTGTAGCGGCTTTCACTTCACACTGCCAGGTCATGGCTGTCCGCTCGTGAACCCTTCGTGTAAAAACAGCTTGTAACGAAGAGCAGCGCTTTCTTGAGCAGGTGTTGGTTGAACATGATAGGTTTAGCACGCTGCTCTAATGACTGTGATTCGTCATCAATCATGAACTCAAGCACAAGTTTTTTGTGTACTCGCTGAAGCAAACTAACTCGTGCTATGCTGCGGAGACACTGGCGATCAAAATTTCGAAGACACTTGATGTTCTCGGATCGGACGGGCAAATAACCACAACCAAAAAGAGTACTGTTACAGATGTTCTGTACACGGGTCCATCAGCTTCAGTGAGATCCGTTCCTGACGTCATTGATGACGCACACTCGTCAATGTTGCCCTATCTGGAAAACGCATACCCTTACTGTGTATTGCGCAGCTTATGTTGCAGATAGGCGAGCCGATCAACAAACTCAAGGTATGAGGCATACCGAAATAAGGGCAACCTCAGATATGCTGTTTACTACAGATTGCGCGGACAAATAACCCTGAAGCAACAAAACAACATCGGCATTATTCAATTTGTTGGCATCTTCCAGGATAGGGTCCTCGTGACCTCTAGTGCGCTTGGCTGGAAGATTTCGCAATAAATGGCGGCTGATCGATGTCAGTGTCGTTTGTGTTATCGGTTTCTTTCCAGATTGTCTGAGTGAGTGCTTGGATGTGTAAGCACCACAGAAACCTTGCGACAGGCCAGCACCAGGTCCACTTTTACCCACCCTTTGTTTTCAACCTAAGGCTCTAAGTAATTGAAGATTCCATGGTTGTACAGCAGTGAAGCATGTGTAGACACTGATGTTGCTGTCTGTGCTGATGATGATACTTAGGTCCATTAATATCCCTCTAGGCGTGATATCGATACCTAGGTTCATGGTTTCTTGAAGTAAGCACTCCAAGATAGCTTCGATGGCGAAAGTGAACGAAGAATATAGCCGTGATGAACCCCACCACTTGTTAGGCTTTTGAAAAGTTCACCTTAACCTGACCTAAGGTACAAGAATAAAGAACACGAACAGTGCTTACGTACTTCAAGAACAGAATTATCTGGTCAGGAATATTTATCTATCCACAGAATAGAATGTTTTCTTAACTTAAAGGAGAACCGCTAGTGTTCGTTGGCGGTATATGTGGCGCTGCTCAAGCACTTAACATAGCGTGAAGATATAGTCAGTACACTGTGTTTGATTGAAATCCTGATTGATGCTCTTGGACCTGCGCCCCATGACCTGAAAGGAGGCATCCAAATGTAAGGTGAGTTAGTGTCCGTGTTACGACAGGGGTGAAACGTATACCCTTAAGGTTGAAACAATCAGCTTCTTGACACAAGTACAACCACCGACTGTTCCCAATTCTATGAAACTGGCTCTTGTCCCCAAATATGTACGAAGGACCCAGTCAAGTAAGAAAACCAAGAATTCCGTCCAGTTTTGAGCAATGTCCGAGGTCACATAGCCCAACAGCCTCATGGCGCTTCAAGGTGGGAAGGCAAATTAGTATATCAGAAATTGGTACAAAGTAATAACTCACGGACCACGGCCCAAAATGCATGGATCGAATGAAGGCACGGGTATAGGGACAGAAGGCTAACTAAACCAGGATGGGGATCGCGCGATCTTCGCTGCGCCCGGTTGAAGACGCTGTAAGATATGGCTGCTAATCAATGCCAATGGCGTTGTTATCATTTTCTATCCAGATTGCCTAAATGAGTGTCTGGAAGTGTACGTACCTAGGAATTATTGTAGTAAGCTTGCGCTACATCCCTTCCCTGTCCACCTTCATTCTTTTCTCCACAATGGGAGCGAGGTCGCTAGTGGTTAAAGAGCGAATTTACTGACCGGAAGGTCCGTGGTTCGAATCCGACCTCTGCCTCTCGACTTCCACTGGCTAGGCTTGGGCAATATGGCAGTATCTAAGCCCCCGTGCTTCCTTCGGGCGGAATGGCAGCTAGGTACTGAAAGGGTTATACAGCTGGGCAGTTTATTTTATTTTTATTTAGTACTGGACAAGTCTGCTCACTTTCACCGTATCTATTCAACTTTGTTACTGAGATAGTGGGGCGGACGCCAAGAGGTTTACGAAACCCAAATTTTCGAATAGTTGCTAACGGCAATTTCGTCACACTGGAATATATGGACGACACTATTTTCGGCCCAGAAGAAGAAAAGCTGTTTCTTGCATGCGCTTTGTACCCACTGGATATGCGGTCATCGAACATGCCAAGGGAAATCCAAGATGAGGCATTCGGGCGTCTGGCCTATCTTTGAAGTTGTATGGGCTCCGATTGCATTTGGCAGCTGAGGCCGATGAACATAGCTCTGACGCTATAATTGAGTTTGCCAATTCGAAACACCTATAGCGAGTTGATACATTTCTGAATTTAAAAAAAACGTGTACATCAGGCCTCAGTGCGCGTTATTTTGTTAGCATTGTAGAGAGTTTTCTCCGCAAGTAATGAAACCCAGATGTCATGCCATTGACAAAATTGACTCAGAATGACAGTCTGCGCAGGCCGATAATAATAATCCGCAATGGATGTGTTCTGATGTTCAACATGAGTTACAGTTGCAGATGCTCATCACTGGAAGTCGCCGTGATTTGATCATATATCGCAAACTCCGATTAATTGCCCGTCAATAAGCGTTCTTTTCCGTATCATACTCAGAGTCGTTCATGCTGAGAAGTGGAAAATATTTGGCCTTTCAGAGAGACAAGAAAGCGATTACGGAACGCGTGGTAACTGTCGCTGCAGTCTGTCATCTAGAGGGACATCTGCGCCATCCTCTCCATGTCCGACCGCTCCATTATCAAAATATTCCCTTTTCTATCCCAGATTGCCCGTTATCGATTGAGTATTTGATGTGTCGTTAAAAGGAATGCACAGGTGGTTGGCTGTGTTAAGTGCATTCGACCAAGTCCTTCAGTTCATTGACATCAGCTGGGATGTCCCGGCGCTGAGGTATGTCCGCTTTCAGTTTCACAATAATCTTATTTCCTTTTGGAAAGTGTCCATGGAAAGTTCTTTAGTAATCTCGCGGCAGATTACACCGAATTCGGGTTGCATAAACTTCGTAAATAGTCTGTGGAACTGGATGGGTTGGAAAGTCAGTCACTGGCTACATCTTGCCAAAACCCATTGAACGATACACTTGCTTCTGATTCCTGAATTAATATCACCAAGCTTTCCGCAATCTGTGTGTCTTAAAGAAACCCCACATCAAGCCAACGAACTCTCCAGTATGGTCTGGCCTGGGTTTCGAATACCAGCTCAAATTGGCCTACCTTATTCCTCGAAATGTCTTCAAGACCTGTCTCTACAAAACTCTTCCGAGGAAGTCCAAATAACTACCTTCCCATAATGGGTTCGCAACGGGACGGAACACAAAAGCAAGTGTCTGGCGCTAGATCAAATTTGGAGGATCACCAGTCGATTGTCTGGGAGACTTCAAAGCAAAAACGCACGGTGTGCGAAGCACCCACGACTCAAAGCCAATCGTGGACTGACACAAAGGTGGGATTACCTGCCGGTCAAAGGCGAACGTGTTCGAATTGTTGGCTGTCTTCGAAGATTGGGATCCATCAACAAACAGAAACCGGTAATCAATGAACTGCGACTTCCACACGCCATACCTCTATATGCGGGCCAGAAGAAGGGCCAGGAGAGTTCAATGAAACCAATCCATCTACCTGAGCTTCTTAAGGATATGCCTCCCTCCTCATAAGCATGAAGCAGAAGTCCATTGAAAACGGTGTTGGGCAGAATCCTCACACACACAGGCGTCCTACGGCCAGGAGGCCTGCACTCACCTGATTGGCCACCTGGCTACTTGTCTGTCCGGCATCAAGGCGAGCCGTGATTGGTAGAAATTATGAACACAGCAACCGATCGCATTTCAGTATCCGTCGCGTGTTGGCGTCCAGAGGGCGTCCGGATCCCCAGAATGTTTTCATTGCATGCACTTTATATACGACGCGCTGCATTTGTTTTTCTGTCCTCTCATCAGATCTTAACACAGTGTAGCATTGGTGGTTCTTTTGCTGAAAATTAGCTTGGCAGGATCAAAAGATGAGATGAGCTTGGGTATCATAGCGCCCTGTCTGGCAACTTGGCCGCAGCGATGGCGGTATGCATACCACTAATCACCGGGTGGCTGTGTGAAACATGACCTACGAGAACGTTCCCGTCCCGTCTCCTCAGCCCTTGTTACTAATCCAAACCACATCGGCAGCTATGATGGCAGCAACCCGTATGAGGCTATCCCGTTTCGCTCGCTGTGAAAATTCCTGGAAGAC